TAGAGGATCCTTGGACCAGTCAAATCCCACAACGGCTTGATGAAGGAACTCGATCTTATGAGCTTCCCCACGGTGTGATGCAGGTCCTTGGCGAGAGAGCTTGTTGATGATGTTGTGAACTTTGGCAAGGGCGTCGGACATCTCCGTTCCAGCGTTGACGAACTTCGAGATCCTTAGAGTATTGAGATAATTCTTGACCTTTGTTTGTCGGACAGTAGAAGTATACTCCTCCTCGATCATGTCAACAGCTCGATTGAAGGAAGTGGCGTATCCGTCAATCTTGTCCAAGTAAAATCGCTTGGCATCTCCGTGAAGCAGGTTGTGCATGTACTGCCATTTTTGGGAGACGGATAGTCCATAGTCACGAGCAAGTTGTTTGTAGTCGTCGACAAATTCCATCCAGCATTCTCCGATTGCACCGGTGAATTCTTATCCTTCTCTCTCAGCCTCATGGAGACATTATGTGCAATCTTGTCCATGGAAGAAGTGCCCAGTCGCCGAGATGTTTCGACTGATGCGGGGGCGGAAGCAGTGCCTTCTGACGTAGAAATTTGTTCGCGGTTACGACGTCCGGCAGCTATGATTTCATGTACTATCTCGATGCCGGCGTGCTTGTCCTCCTGCTCCTCATAAACATTGGAGGCAAGCGTCATCATTATTCTCCGATATGAATGCTGGAGCATTCCAGCACCCCGTGTGTCAAGAAAATTGCGAAGTTCTGAATAGACGGACGGCAAACTGCGCAACTCCTTGCTAAAAAGCGGACTTGGCGGAAACATGTCCGCGATGGCCCGTAGTAGCACATCGCCTCCTCACCGGAGCCTTGCACCAGACGAATAGAAGTAATAAAACCTTTCTGTACGTCATTAAGCGAATGGAAAAGACTATCTGACAATCCTTGCATGAAAATCGGCTTGGATCCTTCAGCTGAACTGTTCCCGGGCGGACCTGCGGCGCCTGTAGACATCTTGATGGCCACGATGACGTTGCTCCACACCAGCGGCACGACACCCCGTCAGCTAACCCGTTCGGAAATCACCTGGTTTTTACAACCAAACACCGTTATCCGCCCCGTAGGACCGGTGGGGCTCCAGGAACGAGATCGCGTTGGTTCAAGTCGCCAACCTCGCGTCCCCGGCGAACCGGATCAACTGTTTCAGATTTGAGAGCGTGTCAACGAAAGCCACTTCAACGTCAGTAAGCGATACAGCGGTGTGTGCGAAAAATTGGTGTGCTTGCCGTGGAGTGCGGTGGTTCTAGCCGACGACGCTCGATTGCGAAACCTTAGTCTGTATCGTGGTGATTTCCGGTGATTATGGTGTGGTAATAATGTGTGCCAGGACGGTACAGTACCTCGCGTAGTCGAATGCTTGTCGCCTATTGGCTTAGCGAGTGAAGCTCGGTTGATTTCTCAGAAATTCGGTAATTCATGAATGTGAAAAAACTGAGGAAAAATACTGGAAAAGTAAGAGAAAATTCAGCACCGACGGACGGTACCCTTTTACTCACCCCTATCTTCCGACGAACGGAACTTTGACTTGTAGGATGGTTTAGATTATTCTCTCTGTGTGCTGCTTCCTTTTTCTTCTACTAGGAAAAGGGGAGCTGCTTTATACTACCCCGACACACCCGATAAGATTCTTAATACTCCTCGTGAGGATGACTTCGTCGCACCTCAAAAAGGAGATCGATGAAGTCCGTAAAAGGAAAGATACTGTACATATAAAGGTCAAATATAGAAGTGTGTGGCCAAAAGACCATTCCCTTGCCAATAAACCACACATGCAGTAACAATGCTCCCGTAACATGTTGATGCCACACTTGTATGGTCTTCTACTTTTCAACAGGAACGGCCCTAAATAGGGTACCCCCGTGTACAGCATCAATGTATATGGCACGTGTTCACGTGTGCATTGAAAATGACGTATGAGGGTGCTGTATGTGCTATGCGGTTTTGTATGGTCGGAATTGGACTCTCAGCGCCTATCGGGAGAACACGTGTACATATTATCATAATGAATACATTCTGACATAGAGTTGACCTCACACATCACCCAGTCAGCAGTAAATGTTACAGTGCTAACATTACTGTTCGCATACCTTCGTCTCTCCCTCGGCAACCAACAGTCTCTCTGTGCCGACACGATGCCACCAGCCTTGCTCTCCTTCTTCTTCACCCCCTCCTCCACGCCCACCCGCACCCCCCCGCGCCTCCTCTCCCTTCGCGCCCGCTGCCCGCCGCCTATCAGAATGTCACTCCCCCTCACGCCGCTCCGCGCCTTCCTCCTCTCCGCCAAGCCGCCGTTGGGGTCGCCGCCGCACGTGATCCTCGGCAAGGAAGCGG